GAGAGAGAGAGAGAGAGAGAGAGAGAGAGGAGAGAGAGAGAGGAGAAGAGAGAGAGGAGAGAGAGAGAGAGAGGGAGGAGAGAGAGCGAGAGAGAGAGAGAGGAGAGAGAGGAGAGAGAGAGAGAGAGAGAGAGAGAGAGAGAGAGAGGAGAGAGAGAGAGAGAGAGGAGAGAGAGAGAGAGAGAGAGAGAGAGGAGAGAGAGAGAGGAGAGAGAGAGAGACTCACTCACACGACAATCCACGGCGCCACAACTTCGGGGAAACACAGTATGTGTTCCGTGTCTCAAACATCCCTGGACGAGAGACTACAGCCGACAGCCGCCTGGCAACGGAGTTGGCAACAGACGGCTGCCCCCAAACACGGAAGGTCATCCTTTCCGTGGTCAGCCCCCCCTCTCTCTTCTCTTCTCTCTCTCTCTCTCTCTCTCTCTCTCTCTCTCTCTCTCTCTCTCTCTCCCTCCCTCCCCCCCAGTGTGTCAAAAATTAGTGGCGAGAATCGACCACAAAGACGCGTGATTGGCTGGGACGTCGCGAGTAAACACACTTGGGACAGAGAACAGTGGCCTGGTTCACAGACTAATCAGACCGAGTTCGAGAGATTCGCTACTGCCGCTAGTTGTGAAACGACATCGTCAAAAGTACACAGACACACAAACAAAAACACACAAATGCGAACGCGAGGAAATTGTTCGAGTCAAGCTGCAATGCCCGTGTCTGTCTTTAATGAGTTCTATCATTAGCGGTGTTCAAACCAATCGCAGCTTTTCATGATCGATACAGATTGAGACACGAATAGATACACCACTACATACATACAACAGCGGGGGCTGACCAAATGCGCAGACGCTACATTCACATGTCTCTTTCAAACCCACGCAGTCTTTCAATGATTCTCCCCTCCTCCGACGTACAAAACGGTCTCTGGTAGTTTCTAAAGCCGCTCTAAAGTCGGGCTTGCCCATCATCCTTCCCCTATCCCTTCAAGCCACAGCGGGCGCCCACGTCCAAAGGAACTATACAAACACTTCTGCGGGCTCGCACAGTCGCAAACAACCCTTCAGCTAGTTCTTCAGTCAGTCGGCAGGCAGCACTCAGCGGCGTACTACAGATGGGCTGGCTGCCGCTTGCCGCCCCCGCGATGTCCCGACAGGGCAGATATCGGCATATTGTCGGACATACGCAGGCATCGCAACGCGACGCAGACGTCGTTACGCACGCATTACTACGCAGAACGCAGACGGCCGCCAACGCAGACACTCACGGGTGAGTCAGACAGCCAGCAGACAAGCAGACACGCCAGACAAGACACAAACTCTACTACAAGCGAGACTCTGGCGGGCAGGACGGGGCAGTGTGTATCACAGGAGGGCACGCACGTTTGTATGCGTGTGTGTGAGTAAGACGGAAGGCCTCTGACGGGACGGTACTGGGGAAGAGGGCGAGACGGCTGGCAGGTTGGTTGTAGACAGGGCAGTTGTAGCTAGGACCCTACTGGCTGGTAGTGACGTATGATGATGCTGTAGAGATTGTCGTAAGCGTTGCTGTAGGTGTTGCTGAACAACCAATCAACTCCACCATTACTGACAGCATCATCATCCACATCACCACCATCACTGCGATCCTGCCTTCTTGACGCCCTGTCTCACGTCCTACCTCGTCTCCTACTACCAGAGTTCAAGGGACAATCTCTTCAGCCGGGCCTTCCATCCGTCCCAGCCTTCCAGTCACCAGGGCCTTCCGCATGTCCTTCCTCACTACGGGCGGCATGTGCTACACAAAGCTGGAGAAGCCGTTGGCGCCAGAGCCGAGAGGGGCTCGACTGCCGGCTCGATTGTTCACGACCACTTCCGCTCCATTTAGCGACATCACCGCTGAACCTGAAAAATCGGGTCGCACCAGGTCAGGCGGGGTCAGGAGAGGTCACGGGGAATCATATACGGAATTTCATTAGCTACCTAGAAATCCCTGGAGTTATGACAGTCCCCAGAATAACGAGAAGTCCCGTAAGTTTCAAAGAGTCTCCCGTATTACCCAAAGTCTTTGACTACAAGATCCCAAAAATTACCAGGGTGTCATACGATATCATATCAGATATCGTTTGACCTCCCCAAAAGATAAATTGTCGTGTATCCGGTGCTCAGTGGCAGACAATAAAAACCTCGACCATGAACACCTTCACACCCACACACGTCACACACCAACCCACACACGGACGCGATCACATGTTGGTCGCTAAATTCATTGGTTCATTGGGAGTATCGTCTATCCCGTGTGCCCCTCGGATACATTGATATCCCGGAGGTATAAAAATAACCCGGACACATGCTACCATCCTTGTGCCGACGTCGTTGGCTAATTATATAGCCACATTCACGCCCAAGACGACAGCGAGAGATGAGAGGATGTTATTTTCAGTACCACCTACCCTGCCTCACGTTATTCTCAGTTACCATTAATGGTAGGTCATTACACCGCCAATTTACGTAAAAAAGAGAGGTAATGACGCGCATGTAGAAAAGACGTGGGCAATGGGCAAATTTGCCGTCTGGAGGGATCCGCCTTCTCGGGGTGGACGGTGTGGGCGGCGTCAGCTGCCCGGTCCGGCCGTGGAGAGCGGCCGGATTCACCAAACGGATCCCACATGCCCCCCTCGGGCGGGACGCCGGATGGCCGACGTGCCACCCTCGGCGCCCCGCAGCCGCGACACCACCGAACACACCGGACCACCTGCTGCGGGCTGGGGAGCCGCGTCGCCGCGGCCCCCGGTCCGCTGAGTAACTGAACACCGACGGCCCCGCCACGAGCGCCAGTGGCGGGGCGCGCGGCCGCGGCCCATCGGGCCCCCGAGGAGGGTACAGCCGACGTGCTAAGAATCGCCGGTATCGCCACAACTGCCGCACCAGAAGCCAACTACTGCTCGTCAGTTGGAACGCGGAGGGACTGCGGAAGAAGGTTCCCGAGGTCTCCCGCTGGCTCTCTGACAGGAAGGTGGACGTGCTGGCGGTACAGGAGGCTCAGCTGCCGTCTGGCCGGAAGATCGCCATCCCGGGGTACCAGGCGGCTGCGGTCGCAAGACGGGCGCAGGGCAGGAGACGGGACGGACCGATCAAGGGTGGGGACGTCGCCATCTACGTTCGGGACGGCCTGCCCTACTCAACCATCGAGGCGTCCCCGCTCCTGCCCCAAGACACCACGACGGAATGGTGCGCCATCAAGATCATCCCGCACCAAATGCGAGGCCAGCCCTCAAGAGAGTCATCATCACTCAACATATACAACCTGTACCGCCCCCCGTCCCGACTGTCAGCTGAGGACGAGCGGGAAGACCACTTCTCTCTGGACATGTTCCCATCGCTACCCAACGTCATAGCCGTCGGAGACATCAACGGCCACCACCCCGTCTGGGATGTTAATTGTTCCGAACCGGACGCGGTGGGGACCCGGGTGAACGACTGGCTTGAGCTCCATCACTGGGTGACTCTCAACTCCGGCGCGGCCACCTGTGTCGGCTACGGGAACCGCACTCGACAGACCGCCCCGGACGTCGCGATGTGCCACCGTGACATGGCGGGCCGCTGCACGTGGGCGGTCGGTGAGGACCTGGGGAGCGACCACCTCCCTCAGCTGATCCACACCTCGATCGGCGGCGCGCGACCGAAGAGGATCCGCAAGAGCCGATGGGCCTTTCACAAGGCGGACTGGACTGGGTTCGCGGCTGACTGTGACGCGGCCCTCGCTGACCTGCGCCCGGACTCGCTGTCGGTGGAGGGCCTCAGCGAGCGGCTGGTGGCCGCGATCCTGTCCGCCAGCACCGCCCACGTCCCGCGGGGTGCGCGCGCCGACCCCAAGCCATGGGCGCTCGATCCGGACCTCGTGGCCGCGGTGGCGGAGCGCCGGGAGGCGAGGGACGCCCTCAAGGAGCACGACTCGGAGGAGGCGAGATCCAGATGGAAGGCAGCCAAGAAGTCAGTTGCGACCATGGAGGCCGAAGCACAGAAAAGGAGCTTCCGCGAACTGGCGACCGGAGAGCTGAACAAGCCGGCAGCCATAGGGAAGGTCACCAAGATCCTGCGGAAGATGGAGGGTGCTGCACCGGACGTCTGCCCAGACCGGGCCATCAACGGGGACTGCGGGCAACTGCTCGCGGAGGACCGGGCCAAGGCCGAGGCGTTCGTCCGCACGTACGCCCACGTCAGTAGAAACGTGCGCCAACCCAAGCGCGACCGGATCGTCAAGACGGAGCTCCGCGGCCTCAAGGCTGCCCCGTGCTGCTGCAGGGGACAGCGCACCGACCAGTGTCAACCCTTCACCGAACAGGAAATGCACGACCAAATCCGACACCTCGGGACGAAGAAGGCGCCAGGACCGGACCAGGTATGCACCGAACACCTGCGGCACCTCGGACCGACGGCCTACCGGACCCTTCTGGCACTCATCAACAGATCGTGGTCCAACTTCGAGACGCCCGCCTCATGGCGACGGGCGACCATCATCCCCATCTTGAAGGCCGGCAAAGACCCCAAACAAGTGGGCAGCTACCGCCCGATCGCGCTCACGAGTCACATCGCCAAGCTAGCGGAGCGGATGATCGCGGCCCGGACGACCTACCTCATCGAGCGAGACCGACTGGTGCCCCCCGAACAGGTCGGGTTCCGCCGCGGGAGGTCGGCGGAGGACAGTCTGGCCCGCTTGGTCCAAACCGTTCAAGATGGCTGGAATCGCCCCAAGCCGAGACGAGGCCCGGAGGATGGCGTGACGGCGGACCGCTTTGTCCTCCTGGCGTTCGACTTCTCCCGTGCCTATGACACGATCGATCACCGGATGCTGCACCTGAAGCTCCTCAAGCTCCTCCCCAGATGTTTCGCGACCTGGATATTCCGGTTCCTTCGCGACAGGCGGGCCCGCGTAGAGGTCAACGGCGCGCACAGCAGCGAGCGCGTGTTCCGCGCGGGCCTGCCGCAGGGCTCGGTCCTGGCACCGACCATCTACACGCTCTGGGCGGCGGACCTTATCGAGACCCTGCGGAACGCCTCGGACCGCATGGACGTCCTGATGTATGCGGACGACACGGCCACACTGAGCGCTGGAGCCACCGTAGAGCTCGCGGTGGCTCGCGCCCAGAAGTCGGCCGACGCCCTGGCCCGATGGGCAAGGCACTGGAAGATGTCCATCGCCGGACAGAAGACCCAGGCGCTGCTGCTGACTCAGCGGAGCAGGGACGAGCGTGGCGTGCAACTCCTGGTGAACGGCACGCAGGTCACCGGTGGCACCAGCCTACATCTTCTGGGGGTGACCTTCGACAGACTTCTACACTTTAAAGACCACTGCGACTCTCTGCGGCGGAAGGTCCGGCCGCGGACGGCACAGCTGCGGAGGATGACCGGCCGGACCTGGGGTCTCCGCGAGGCGCAGCTCAGGACAGTCGCGAACGGGTATGTCCGGGGAGCCCTTGAATACGCGGCGGGTGCCTGGCTCCCGGCCGCGTCCCCGTCACACGTTCAGTTGGTGGAGCGCGAGCTGCTGGCGGCCGCCCGGGTGGTGACCGGATGCCCACGGTCCACCCCCAGGGATCCCCTGCTGGCCGAGGCAGGCATCCCTTCAGCATGGTCCACCAGGAAGACGCTGGCCGCGCGAACGCTCTGCCGAGCGCTCGCCCTGCCGGAGGACGACCCTCTTCGCCGCGTCGCGGAGGCCGACCCACCCACCCGACTGCGGTCTACCACCGGCTGGCGACAACTGGGGCGATCGGCGCTGATCGAGGCGGGCGCCGAGGGAGTGACGGTGGAGCCGCGCCTCGAGGTTCCCCTCCTCCCGTGGACAACCTGCCGCCCGATCGCCTTCAATCTGGACGTGGGACCCGGCGGTCGTCGAGCTTCTTCCAACGAGACGCGACGAGAGGCCGCGCGGCAGCACCTGGCGGCGCTCCCAGCCCAGGCCACGTGGATTTGGTCCGACGGCTCTGCGGACGCTGGGGTCAGGCGAGGAGGAGGCGGCGCTGTCATCTTCACCGCGTCGGGGGAGACTCTCGAGGTGGAGGTGGCGGCGGGAGGCCTCTGCTCCAGCACCCGTGCGGAGCTGTTCGCCCTGAGGGCGGCGCTGGAGCGAGTCCGGGATGAGCCGTCCCCCGCCCCGCTGGTGGCGTGCTCTGACTCACGAGCCGCCCTGAGCCTCCTCAGCGCGGGAGCGGCCGCCCAGACCACCACTATCGGCGCGGCGATCTGGAGGACGCTGCTGGACATTGCCGAGCGCCGGCAGGTGACCCTGCAGTGGGTCCCTGCTCACTGCGGGCTGGCGGAGAACGAGCGCGCTGACGCCCTGGCCAAACAAGCGGCCACCCTGCCCCAGGGCGCCGTGCCCTCGGACGCTCGGTCCCTGACACGGGCAGTTCATCGGACGGCCACACGTCAGTGGCGCGAAAACTGGCCCGACTCCTTTTTCAAGACTATTTTCGGGAGCACCCTGCCGCTCCCCATCCCCGGAGAGGACCGAGAGGCCGCCATCTCGGTGCACCAGTTGAGGGCGGGCCACTGGGGCCGCTCGCTCCAATACCTGCACCGGATCGGCCGCCACCCCTCCGTGGCATGCCTGCAGTGCCCCGATAAGCGGTGCCCCGCGGCGCTCTGCGCCGTGTGCCGGGAGGAGGCGGACGTGCCGGAGCACGTCTTACTCCGCTGCCCGGCCCTCGCTGGCGCCCGCCTGCGGCTAACTGGCAGCATTTACGTCGACCCGTCGCGGCTGCGGGACGCCGACCTGGTGGCTGCCTTGGAGGCCGGCTACCTTCGTCATAGGGAGCCTCTCGGCTATGGTCCTCCGTAAGGAGGTCCCAGGGGGAACAACAACAACAACAACAACGTGGGCAATGAGGTATAAAACTCTCTAGAAATAAGATAAAACGGTGCTAAGGCGTTTCTGAGAGAAACATCACAATAAATAGCTGCGATGGATGTGTATCTTATACCAGGCCATTACATCTGTTAAGCTATGTAAAGCTTGGAAAAATGAACATACTCCAACTGGTATCCAGCTCAAAAACGGCTGCACGCAATTCCAATATCCCCGATTCTCAGAAGAGGAAAATAGAATGGCATTAGTACGGCTCAGTCCCACACCATCGTCTTGTAGTTATGGGGAACATTAATACTCAAAATCTCCATTACTGCCAAGAGGAACTAATGCTAGGCCTCATGATTTTCAACGATATAACGATCAACAAACTTAACTACAACGAAATTCTGCGTTCACATCACTTTAGCCCTTCCTCTTTAGTCATAAAAATTAACGAACATTCCTCCTACTGAACTCTTCCGGTTGAAATTTCTCATCAATTTCGTTCCACGGCAAATTAGCCTATCATTTGAGTGCGCGGCCGCGGTGCGCACATCCAATACGCCATTCCTGCGGGGGTCATAAGGGTAGCAGCGGCGACACTATGCCACTGATGAAACGCACTATGTCATACTAACACAGCCATTCGTCCACTGATTACAAGGATCGCCGACCTGCGCCACAGGAAATTGGTTCACCTCCCGTGTTTTCATTACCCTGGGTATGCGCAGAAATCCCCTATTAACCTGCCCCTTCGATGCCTCATTAAGTCTACGACAAAAAAATGAACATGAACGCAGCTTCTGGTTGAGACAGAATGCCATATGGTCTGGCTGGGGTGATAAGTTACATTTCTTATAACTTCTATACATTGCAATGACTGACCGTTCCCTGAAAAGGCATGCGCAACGACACGTCAGCATCAGCCAACCAATCGAGAGAGAAAAAAAACGGCACCCGCCCGTCGGTGATTGCCAAACATATATGACAATTCAGACGACCACGTTGTCTGAAGTCCTTTATCGGTCGCCTCGGCCACGCACACACGCGGTCTTTGACCTACACCAGACTATGGAGGAACAAAGGAGGGTAGGTGTGACGTCAGCGAACGAGATGACGTCAACAGCTCGGTATCGGGTGCCCCATGGGCCCAAGTACCGCAGTGCGCAGCCGTCGACCGAGGCGCACACATCTGTCAAATCTGTTCCCTCTGTTTACCTCGAGGTGCACCGAAGGTCCAGCCGGTTTCTACAGCTTCGCACCGTTTACCAGTAAGGGTTGCGGGGCACACGCGCATGGCGTGCAATAAGCCCCATCGGCTGTTTCAGGGAATTTTCCCACGATAGAGACTGGGAGCAGGGAGGGGAAGCCGTTGTCCGCGGGACGGTCAATGCAGGACAATTACGCAGGAGCAAGGCGGGTCAGCGTGCTCTCTTCGCCCTAGTGCAACCCCAGCTAATTGATTCAAGTGCACCTGGTCGACGTAGGCTACGCCTCGAGCTGTCCCAAGATTGTGAAATGACAGGCCCCTGAACGACCATCGCCTTAATTCAGGCGTCGGTTTGCCGTCACACACTGGCGGATCTAGTTCAGTGGCTTGGGAGGGGCAAACAATATTCAATAACAATGAAATGGTTATTTCCATGCACTGGTTACATTTATGGTAGCATGCACTGTATACATGCAGGGTGCCAGGTTTTATACGCGTAATCTAATGATTTTGCTGGTTGGGCGGGGGAATGCCCTCCTTGCCCTCCCCTGGTTCCGCCACTGGTGTCGCCGCCGTTATCTCACCGTTGTTATCTCTCGCTCGTCGCCGTGGGTCGGCCCACGTGGCCGGTGCGGAGAGCCAGAGGTCCCGTGTTTGGTTTGTCCCGTGCTTTGATTGGCTTCGCCTCGCCGGTCGGCGTGACGTCACCTTGCGGCTGTCCCCATTCCTAGGGGGAGGTATTGGCGTTGCGCCGTTCATGCTCCGCCTCCAGTTGACGTCATAGGTGACGTCGTCCGACCATGGACGATAGCATGGGCGCTCGGCGTAACTGTTTGCCAAGGCCCGTGGCGCCGATGATAAGGATGCCGCCGTAGCCGAGTGGTTAGAGTCTCGGTCTGGGGAACGAAATGTGGGTGATTCGGCTCCCGCCGTTGCGGGTTATTTTTTTTTTCTCCTGATTGTGTAATGACGTCCTCCCGCCATTCTAGTGCAACTCCACAGGGCGATTGCTGTAGCCCGCATAATGGGACCGGTGGTATATTAATGTGTCTTCCCGCCATTAGGCGCGACTCTGCCACGGATATCTGTCAGCATGCAGAGTAGGACTAGTTTTTGCTCATTTATGTCCTCCCGCCAATCGGGCGCGACTCTGACAGCGTTTGTTTCAGTCAGCGGATTGTGACACTAAAATGATACGCAGGGTGGGACCAATGATACCTATTCCTCTCGGCGCTCGGGCGCGACTCTGCCATGGACACTTGTCAGCCTGCAGAGTGGGACTAGTTTTGTGTCCTATCGCCCATCAGGCGCGACTCTGACGTGAGCGTTTGTTTCAGCCAGCAGAGTGGGACAAACGACATGACGCGCAGGGTAAAATCAGTGATATCATGATATGTCCTCTCGCCACTCGGGCGCGACTCTGCCATGGACAGTGGTCAGCATGCAGAGTGGGACCAATGATATTTATGGTATGTCCTCTCGCCGCTCAGGCGCGACCCTGCCATGGACAGTTGTCAGCATGCAGAGTGGGACTCGTTTTGTGTCCTATCGCCATTCGGGCGCGACTCTGACGTGAAGGTTTGTTTCAGCCAGCAGGATGAGACAAATATGATGCGCAGAGTGGGACCAATGATATTTATGGTATGTCCTCTCGCCGCTCGGGCGCGACTCTGCCATGGACAGTTGTCAGCATGCAGAGTGGGACTGGTTTTGTGTCCTATCGCCATTCGGGCGCGACTCTGACGTGAAGGTTTGTTTCAGCCAGCAGGGTGAGACAAATATGATGCGCAGAGTGGGACCAATGATCTTATGGTACGTCCTCTCGCCGCTCGGGCGCGACTCTGCCATGGACATTTGTCGCATGCAGAGTGGGACTAGTTTTGTGTCCTATCGCCATTCGGGCGCGACTCTGACGCGAGCGTTTGTTTCAGCCAGCAGAGAACCAATGATATTATGGTATGTCCTCTCGCCGCTCGGGCGCGACTCTGCCATGGACAGTTGTCAGCATGCAAAGTGGGAATAGTTTGTTGTCCTATCGCCAATCGGGCGCGACTCTGACAATGGCGATTGTTTCCGCCAGCAAAGGGAGCTGACTTATGCCTGCGAGAGAAATTAATTATATGTCCTCCCGCCATGTCGGCGCCACTCTGCAACGGGCCTTTATCAGCCCGGAGAGTGGGACTAGAACAACGTTATATGTTACCCCAGGGGCGATGATCTTTGTGTACTTGTAGCATTCCGACTGGCCAGCACGATGCTCCTGGTGTTCGGCGATAGCTTCGCCTCTTGGGCCAGTCGCCGCTGCGAGCTGCAGGCAGCCGTACAATCGGTCGGCTGACGTGGCGGTCGGTTGTCAGACGATCGGTTTCGCGCATGGGCCAGCGGAGCTATCGGGCTCCGGCCAGATCGCATCCTATTGATGATCGGTGGCAATGACCTTACTCAAGTCAGTTTCAGCACGCAGCTTATAATGCAGCGGTTCATGGAGCCAGTCCTCGGCCTCTGCGCCACAGGGGCGGAGGTTCACGTGTTCCAGGTGCCGCCGCGTTCTTCCTCCCGGCGTGGCTCGGCGTCTGTGACTGCGCACCGGCGGCGGAGGCGTATCGCCAACCTCCTCTTCCGACGGCGCTTTGCGCGGTCAACCGCCGATGAGACGTCTGCGTTTGTCATTTTCAGCGACGGAGGAGTTTATTGGCTCGGATGGCGTCCATTCCTCGGCGGTAGGGTAGCGAGCCCTTACTCACGTTATCAACGCGCTGGCCGTTCTCCCCCCCCCCCCCATAAGGTGCATCTATAGTGTGCTTCACAGTCGTGGCCCGTGGCGCCGCCTGTGCAGTCTGTGTAAGAGCCCATACTCATTAGGTCCATGTTTCCCGAGCAATTGGATTAGCCTATCGCTTACCGCAATGTGCACCGCAGTCAGGTTGTGGATAAACTGAGGTTTGACTGTGAGCTTTGATAAAGATTGTGGATACTCTGAGCTAAGCTGGTGGGAAATGTTTCCAGAGCTATGATATTAGCCTGTCACTGCCGCTATGTGCATTGCAGTCGGATGGTGGATAAACGCCAATGCTCTGACGGAGTGTTCTCTTTTCATTTTCATGCTGCCAACGAGAGATGCCGAAGGCGCGGGCCCCATCCCGCGGTCGAGCCGCCGCCGCTGCATCAACGCCGTCGAATGTCGGTGGCTCGGGTCGGCGCAGCCGCGGTGTTCCCGCTGCCGCCGCACAGAGTCAGCCTCAGGTCTGTGTCGACCCGACACAGCTTCGGAACATCATCCAGGACGTGGTGCAGGAGGCGCTGGACGCCTCCGCCGCATCGAGACCCGCGGCCGCTCCGGCGCCGTCCTACAGCCACAGCGTCCCGGCACCCACCGGTTCAGCGCCGTACGACCCACTAGAGTCCCCGGAGAGCAGTCCGCTCGGTAACGCACAAGTGGTCTGCGATGGTACCGAAACGGTATCGGCCGCCCTCCGCCAAAAAATCGTGGAGGACCGCTTTGTTGACCTCGGCCTGCTGCTGGACCATGCCGACGGAGCACGGGCGGAGACGAATCAGGCGTTCCAGTTGGTGGACGGGCAACTCCGCCCGGCTTCACGAGCTCCGCGCGTCATCACTTCTTTTGGCACGTGGTGCATCGCATTCCTCCGCTATGCAGGAGTATACGTACAATCGCGTCCTGCCGCGGCGGCGGGCCTCATGGCTCACATGCGACAGGTGGGCCAGCTGACAGGCGCGGGGCTAGGGCTCGCCTGGCGCGAATACGACGAAGCCTTCCGCAAGGCGCGTGAGGTGGCTCCCCAGTGCCATGAGTGGGGCACAACCGCCAGCTCCTCCCCGCTTTGGCTACAGGCCGTCGCCAGGGGCATCGGCACCGCAGCGAGAGTCGGCAATCCCCCGGTGCGGCCTGTTGAGACCCCTATGCGATTTCGGCCCTGCTTCGCGTACAACACAGCTCGGGGCTGCCCTGCCCGATCATGCCGCTACCAACATGCGTGCCGTACAGTGGATCTAGTAAGGATCTCCAGACGTAACTAGATGGCGTTGAGCCTTAGTCGAGTCCATGTAACATTCAAGGAGAGGCCACTACCGAGCTGGGCCCGATGGGGAGGTGGGCGGGGGGGGGGGGGAGGTGGCGAGGTCACGGTGCGGTGACCTGTCAAACAGCCCCGGCGCGGTGGGGCACTGCCGCAGGCAAATGGCGCACTCCAGCGTTGTTCCATATCGCGGTGGTGGGCCGGGCGGCCGGTTAGCTTGGCTGCTTGGAAGGAAAGGATAATAATTGAGGCATAGGTTTGCTGTGACCGGCACATCTGTCAACTATGATGCACCCAAAGTAATGCAAATATGATGTTGGTAATGCAGCTGGCAATGGAATGCCAGCGAATGCTCCGAGCGCCCGGTAGCTATAAGGATTAATATTATTTATGTCTCCTGAAATTTTCATCGAATATAATTCAAGCACTAGAAAGATTGTATCGTTCGACAGTTTTTTGACCGGCTGACGTTTCTTGCGTAGAGCGCCCTTGGGCAAATAATTATCACGCAGGTGATTTTTTTTTTTTGCTGGTAAGACAAAAAAGGGCAAATCAAGTCGCTGAGAGAAGATGAGGAAGAACAGGTCCAACCTGGTGTAACGTGTAAGACACCGGTCCAACCTGGTTCAACCCGGCCCAACCGGGATTGGCACCCCCTTTTTTAATATAAATTTGGCCCGAACCTTTTGAATGGAAGGAATCACAAGGACAGAGTCCCCGCTAAGCTGAGCTTGCTGCATTGACCCTGCATTGCATTGCATTGCATTGACCCCTCCGATCAAGCAATTCCTGGTCTATGACAGAAGTTAGAGTCCAAATTTTAACGTGTGCACATAACCGCTCACGGCCGGTCCCCTCACTGACTGCCTGGCAGCGGCCTGCCACCAACCACAACCATACCAATTACCATGTCAGGAGGCTCAAAAACGTCAAGCGCACGTCACGTCTCGAACCCGGACTTTCGAAACCGGGACGTGCGATCTCACCACACGGAATCCAACGCTCTACCGACTGAGCTACCGGGACAGACGATTGACTTCGGATTTCGCCTCGTGGCATTGACAGACGTCAGACACTTCAGCCGAACTTTAACCGAAACACTGAGCAAGCTACGAAGGGCGACAGGTGCTCGTAGCGTCGAGGTTGGGTGACCTGTGAGCTGAATGCGATGTCGTGAGTTCGAGCCCCACTCCCGGGCCTAGTTTTATCAAGGCACGAAGTAAATCCTTTCCTTCTACTGCAACAAGCACGATGACATTTTCCCCCAATATCTTTCCCCAAATGGGGGAACTTCACTGAGACTGGGATGATATTGGGGACCACAATATCTTCCCAGTCCCAATAAAGTCAAAATTTTCGCTTATAAATGTAACCGGTTGTTTTTCAATAGAAAAACACAATTCTAACGAATACTGTTATCTAATTCAAACAACCTGCGGTTAAGCTAAGTTTCATTTTTTAAAGAAAATATTTTTTGGTAATTTTTCTGAAGCCATTTCAACTTGTTTTCTATTTTGATGCTTTTTGAACCGATAAAGCCCACCAAAACTGAACGTGCCAAATGAAAAAAAAAATATCCAACTCAAATGACAGTTTAGAAAAGTGCCTAAGATATCATGCAACTATCGACCGAATAGTTGCAAGCTATAAATACGTCCTAGATTTCAATTATCATTGTTCCACATTTTGGCTGGAACTGGCGCTGCCTCTCGCTTGCCCGTTTGTTTGAGATAATGATTCCCTTTAGTCGCATTCTTCCTGGTTTCACATGTGAACAGGATACCACCATACCGGAGTGAACGCACCCGCAACCATCATCCCCTCCCCTCAGCCTCGGCGCAGTGGCGGGCGGCCCTGGGCGGCCCACTCCCGGCGCCGCACGCCCCATGCGCCGTGATACCGCGTCACTCCCCTTCCCCTCCTTCCCCCACAATGACCGGTGACCCCACTCCCCTCGGGATTTGGACTCGCCCTACCCCGACCGTAGCGCCACGTGGTGGCTTTGGAGATCTTAAATAGACCCACTGTACATGCCGCGGCGATCACCCGGCCACCCGCTGTGCGTCACAGCTCGCGCAAACACGCGCACGCATTCCCCGACCCAATGCCGGCCCGACAGCTGCCGGTGCTTCCCGCTAGCTACAGCTTGTGCTGCGCGTCCAGCCCATGGCGTCGACACGGCAAGGGGATCAACTCTTGGCCGCGGCGCCATGCGCCATGACAGCCAGCCCGGCATGGACCATTGCGCTAATCCCGACACGATGAGGGTGCGGGACGCCTCTCGTCGCGGGTCAGCGCGACTGTACTATAATAGTTAGCCAAGGATGCGGTGGGGTTACGAGTGTTCACTGTTCTCGATTAGGTGTTTATTCTCGATTAGGTGTTTTTGCTGCGCTGCATTGCCGTTGCTCCGGGCGTATTTCCTACAACAGTGGCGCTACTGCGGCTTCCCGAACATGACGTCGACACGGCAAGGGGATCGCCCTTGGCCGCGGCGTCATGCTTTGTGTCATGTCGCAATGGCAGGGTCACGCGCCCACTATTTATTCAGCCAAGGTAGCGTTTGTGTGGCAAATGATTATGCACAGTGTGTTTCATGCTGCAGCGCAGCTCCGACACGGCCGGTGCCATGTGGCTCCGGGCCGCGGGGCTGCGATACCACCGGACAACGCGCAAACTGCACTATTATACATACATATCGACTGCATCAAACCCCAGCGTGGCCACCACATTGGGTTCAGGCTCCCACACCGCAATTCTCTGTTAACGGATGGAGTCCGTTTACTTCTCCCGCTCGCGCCACAGCTCCGTCGTCTCGTGGTTCGGTGGGGTGGTGGGCATGTGTCACCTCACCAAAAACCGGTCTAGCTGAATACAGTCCCAAAATCACAGTCCGGTTTTTGCGAGCACGAGAGCGACGGATAAATGACAATTCAGACGACCACGTTGTCTGAAGTCCTTTATCGGTCGCCTCGGCCACGCACACACGCGGTCTTTGACCTACACCAGACTATGGAGGAACAAAGGAGGGTAGGTGTGACGTCAGCGAACGAGATGACGTCAACAGCTCGGTATCGGGTGCCCCATGGGCCCAAGTACCGCAGTGCGCAGCCGTCGACCGAGGCGCACACATCTGTCAAATCCCACCGCCAACCCCAGTCACCACCGCGTCACGTGATTGGTGTTGATATCTTTGCACATGTATGACCACTTAAAATTGTGTAGTCACAGATAAGTGTGGTGCTGTCCTTCCAGTATATCGACGACTTATCGAGTTCGCAGAAGGCAGCTCATTTGCCAGTTCCGCCTCCGCGTTTTTCCTGGTCATACCGTGCCGATGGCTATGACATATTGGCTAGCTGCCTGCGCCACCCCTCCGCCGTCCTCTCATGCTCTGCCAATCTCTCTCTCCTCTCTCTCTCTCTCTCTCTCTCTCTCTCTCTCTCTCTCTCTCTCTCTCTCTCTCTCTCTCTCTCTCTCTCTCTCCGCGCTCGTTCCAGCTACAATCTCTCTCCTCCCAATTCTCCTCCCAGCGGGCTCTCGTCCTCTCACCCCTTCCTTTGTTATATATTTCTACTCTCTTTATTCTCTCCATCCTCCATCGATTTTATATTTTCTCCCCCTCTCTCTCCCTCTCCCCAACTCACCCTCCTGCTCGGAGTCGGTATGGCTAGCGTAATTTCTCAGCCCGCCTCCTCCAATCGCGCCCGGCACGGGGCCCGCAGTGGCGGCCGTCCTGACCGGCCCCGAGGGCACCTGGCGCGAGGGCGTCGGCCTCTGGCGCTTCCACGACTGCCTACACACGTCATTGACGTTGGTGTAGTGTCCCACCATGCTGCGCGCGCCCGATTGGTAGTAAAGCTCATCTTCGTCATCGTCACCCTGAAAAAGAAGGGGGGGGGGGGGCATGTGAGGTCAGGACGGGGGAGGTTGAGTTGAACGAGGCTAGGACAGGGAGGTTTGGGTCTGGTTACTAGTTTTGCGTGGTTTCTACGTATCAATTTTTTTTTCTATCAGCGAGGCATCCCCGCTGACGATTTTCGCTGCTAAATTATATACAGTACACATCAGTTCGCCTAAGGAAGACATGATACTGGTATCATACAGAGAGAAGTGACACATAAAGTCAGACCAAGGCCTTTGAACCTCAAATCAGAGCAAGAATCAGAGATCAGGAGCCAGTCAGGCGTTATCGGCTATACTTTCCGACATTTACCCTTTACTGAGTTCAGCCAGCAGCACATCAATTTCCAACGTCAGGCGTCAGACCGGAGCAGCCGCAAAATTGTCCATGAATAAAAAGAGCGGCTCCAGGTATATACCAGGGCATGGATATTTCCCCGGGAGGTTACTGAAAATTCACCGGAAATTAATCCAGTCATCGTTGAACGGAAGCCATGTACATACAATGTCCTGCAATGCTTAAAGAAAACTCATCACCAACTCAAAAGAAAACTCTGTGGGCTTGTCTTTAGCTTGCATGCAGATGGAAACATCACATTAGAACATAAGTAGAGTGGCAGAAAATTGAGAAGACAATACCAAACCCGAATTGGTTCTTTCAGCCGAGACCCAGCTTACTTGAGCAGTCTGTCGGCTTACGAAACTACGCTATCGTCCCCCGATCAAATGACCCGCCTCTTTCCGAGGCCAGGAAAACCATTTACATTCACAGCTGACCCGACTATTTACATTCACATTCGACCCGACTATTTACATCGGCAGCCGAACCAACCGCGCAGAGGTAGTGGTGCTGGTGTTGGTGTTTGCAATTGGTGCTGGTATTGTATTTGTGTAATTGGGGGGGGGGGGATTTAGGCCCGTAGGGGAGCGAGCAGAAGTCTCGTGCGGACACTTACCTGTGAGTCTGTGCTGCTAACTTCAGACGGTTTTTCCGACAGGCTGCTGTCGTCTGGGTTTTCGTCGTACTTGCTCTCATTGTCGCTGTTATAGGCAACCGAGGCGGGCATCGGTCTCGGAGGTACGGCTGCCGCTGGGGAGAGGGAGAAAGAGAGGGTGTTAGATATCACAGAAAGAGAGAGAGAGAGAGAGAGAGAGAGAGAGAGAGAGAGAGAGAGAGAGAGAGAGAGAGAGAGAGAGAGAGAGAGAGAGAGAGAGAGAGAGAGAGAGAGAGAGAGAGAGAGGAGAGAGAGAGAGAGAGAGACCATGGGGTATATTGACCAAATGTTATAACCATTGCCCAATGCGCAACCATCCCCAGAAGAAACGATACAGAACATAAGGGGAATAACATACATCATAAAACTTCGCTTATGCGTGCTGCTTTTGTAGAACGACATAGCTTTATCACCTGCCATACATTAACTTCCTACATACATGTGATCGTTGGTATATGTATACCTGCCAAGCTCTCCCCCACAATTATTTTAATTCGATTTATTCGTTTTATTCGTTTATGTTCGTTCACCCTACGCCAATGCCCCCACACACTGTGATCTTCAGCCGCGCACCCGGTCAAAGTTGTGGCCAATAATCCCACCCGCACCTCATCTCTAGCTCGGTAGATTGTCGAGTTAATGGTCCACGCAGTATCGGCATCCCGTCTCCCCCGGCCGGTCCACCATATGGTGCGATAGAGTGCCTGCTAGGCTACGGGGCCTGGTTGGGATACGAGAGAAAATAGCCCTGTTCGGGCGTAGAAAGAGCTCACTTGGGTTACAGCCTGTCAAGGGATAGGGTGATATGAGCTACAATGTAGTTTTATTTGATTGCTGGGTGTTTGTGCTAAAAACTGAGCATGGCTAATGCGATTTACCTGAAGTGGCCACTTCTTCCCTAGACATTTTTTTTCGATGGCTTGCCCTGCCTACAATTAAAAATTGAGTCCCCCAGAACATGTTCTATTCAAATGCATGATCAAAGAAACGTCTTCTGATTTTGAACAACGTGCTAGATAAGTTTTCATAAAGATCACGTTACCGGCAACGTGACACTACGCCAGGATACAGTCGTCATAGAAACAAGAGAATAGAGAAAAAACTGGGTGATCACAAAACACACTACAGCCATTATAGACAGCCACCGAGCCAGATAATTTGGCCCATTTCCAGACATTAAAAGCGCATCACTGACTCCTATCCTGGATGTAGATTTGATGACGTCATTCCAGACGTGTGTTTGCTGACGCACAAGTTCATGTTTTATTAGGAATACACTCAATGAAGAGCGAAAGTTATCAGGATGACTTTGGTCGACAGGTGCCCTTGAATTGTCTGAATAATTTCTGGATTATCGAGGACTTTGCTGCTAGTTTAGAGAAAACTTGTGTCTTTTGTGCTCTCTAAGCGATCTTATCGTTGTTCAACTTTAAATTGGGTCGCAGTTACTTTTCATATTTCTGGTTGTTTAAATGAAGTATGGGTGACAGGCCACGTGTACACTATAAATTTCATTATTTATGAGAGAGAAATGGACCGAAAGAAAAATAGCCAGGAGAGAGCCAAAGTAATAAAACAAAAATAACTATTATTCTGCAGCAGTTGTCAGGTCAAAGCTTGCACCAATGTCGGTTTCTCATAACAAAGCCCAGTTTTCGCAGAAGGTAATAAATTTTCTTCATCAGCACGGGAGACGCAATATCAACAAAAAGTCTCAATATTCGCTATAGTCGGTGTCTGGCGCTCCAGAAATGTATCGCTGCGTCCCACCAGCACAAAGGGGGGGGGGGGAAACCCGTCATCACATTGGACAATTGAGCAGGCACGCCAGAACTCCCCTGAGAGTGACGGACACATCAGCCTAGTCGCTGACCGACCCAAGGGGGCAGGGGGGGGGGGGAGCGGCAGCTGCGGGAGGGTACTGTCCCTTGGGAATACATAGTCTGGGCAGAAAGGGATGAGACGGGCTCAGCTAACTCTCTAGAGAACACTGATGTGGTGCAGGGAACATTACTGGGCAGGGCAGGAGAGGGGCGGTTATCCCCATGAAAGTCTCCTCCCTGGAGACTACCAAGGATGGGAACGGTCATCCCCACCGCCACGAGAATACACCCCCGTGAGAATCTGGAGGCGGGCGGTGACGATAGTTACGTCCTACTGTGACGACTGCGGCGCACCAGAGAGCCGGTAGTGGCGCAATAGGTCACCGGAAAGGTCAGCAACGAGGGTAGCGCCGCCGCCGACGGGGGCGATGACGGTGACGACGACTGGTCGACGGTTACGACGATGGCCCGCCGGGCGGTCTATGGTGTAACCAGGACACAATCGAAGGCACGTCGGCGAGCGAGCGAAAGGTTAGAGGCGGGGAAGGGAAAGGAGTAGAGAGAGAGAGACTTGGATACAGAGGTCAGGCTGAGAAACGACACACAATTCCTATCTCATAAGGGATTTTAAATTCGTCGGGAGGTGAATGCAACTGGGAGATACTAACCATTTTCGTTATATTAATTCATTTAACATTTATTTTACTGACTAAGCAACACCACCCGATTGCGATTAAAATATGCACTTCAGGATGACACAACGGTCATCGAAATACATTTTCACTCGTTACTTCAGAGCCTTCAGCATGATTTTAAAATTTCCATGCCAATATCAGGCTAACCCTGGGCAATACGTGCCACTAGTATCGATTACCACACCATCCTATACCCCTTTCCACCCCTCCCCCCGACCCCCGACCTCTACCGGATGCTGTCCGGGGTCACCGGTTGCCAGATCTGTCCAGCTCAGCGTGTAGCCGTCACGTCATCAGTTGCCAGACTGGCCAGGCACAGCCATTGAGACCGCCAGACGGGCCATTCAGAGCGCGTGCAGCTGCCAGTCTCCCCTCCCGTCACCCCCCGACCCCCCCCCCCCGACACCCTCGTGGGGGACTTCTGGTTCAGCAAAGGCCATTCAGTAGATGAGCGCGCCCGGGGAAAACACACGCCGTTCTGATGGTGGGAACTTGTGCGGAAAAATACCGTATCCGCAGTGTATTATGCTTTTATTTATTTATTTCTTTTTTATACATTGCTAGCAGGCATTGTACAAAACCAACTAGAATCAGCAATACTCAACATTCGGGTAAAATGTTTTGGTTGGAAAATCAGTGCAACATCGATCGAATAGAGGGTAGGTGTCTTTTATATTTTCAACGCTGATTGCGAAAAAAAGTTTCACCTCACTGTTATCAATCAAAGAGCCCTTCCTAAGCTGCAGAAAGGCTATCTGGTGGTGCTTAACACGTAAATGGATCGTAAACGCATTAGTTTGACTCAAATCTTCAGACTTCTCTTTCCGATAACTTTTTGTTATTCAGGGAAACACCTCTCGTATAATCCTGAACTCTAACGTCAGTAGCTGCAGCTTTTTTGTGAGAGGTTCGCGTCGTTTTTATCAGGAAATCCCGCATCAGAGTTCAAAAGGAAATCCACAACAGTCTGGTCTGTACTACTCACATCATCTGCCTGTCCAACCCCTCTCAGTAAACCAGGGATAGCAAGACTTTCGGGTTAGACCTCCAGTTTCCATCCAGTTTCATTACGCTAGAGGTGGCCAGGGGTTGTATGATCATACCCAAAACAAAGCAGACTATTAATGCGGAATATGACGACATTAACCTGAAATACAAATAAATTACTTGTTTATAGCATGCAGTCAGCTAATGCATGGTAACGAAAAATTATAATTATTTAAAAAAGAAAATGTTAACCATTCAAAAGAATCACAGGACTCAGATAATACGGTCAGTAATAAGCTATTTCATTTGGAAGAAACCACTAAAAGAAATGCAGCATTCCTTCCATATCCTACATAAGGCTGCTGCACAAAATTGCCCGTATCCTCCTAATCCCCCGCGGGGAGGGATTACAAAATTGCGGGTCTCGGTCAGCCGACCAGAGGTCCTCAACTCACCGACAGCAGACCGCCTACTGATGGTATTGCGCTTCATCGTGCTTCTGCGTGAGCTACGGTGTTCGATTGAGAACCCCTCAGCGAGCGCCTCCATGCTCAGTGTTTCTTCAATGGCTTCTGCTTTCTCTGAAAAAAAAAAACGACAGAAACGCGTTAGCAACAGCGGTTAAGTGAAATAGTCAGTTGGAAGCAGAATCTCCAGATGTGTTTACATTTGATATAGGAGAAAACGAAGAGCTGAAAAGACAAGGGCAGTGCAGAAGCTTTTAATGACTTAAGGATTAACTCCTAGACTTCGTTTCAGCATGCCTATTTCTACGACAGCTGAATTCAGGGAATATAAAATCAGGGAAAGCAGGCTAGATCTTAAAATCATTAAATCATTATAAAAAAAAAGACGGAAAGAGGTATCGATGAACAGTTGTATCGGTTGATAACTAAACGAAGCAGACCACGTAAAAATAACCGCACGCGCAAGACACACACCGTCATCGACCAACAGTCTACCGCCTACTCATACATCGATCATCGGGGAGGAAGTCAAAAGAACTACGCAGAACGCGACACCAAAAATAGCCCCACAGGTGAGTCAAGGTACTGTCACAATTACTGTAATCACGCATAGTTCTAAGCCACTGCAGTGGGTGGATCGAAAGATGTCCATCAATGTAGGCATATTTCCCTCGAGAATGGAAGCTAATTTAGGTCACGAGAAATTACCGAACAAATGTAGGTACGCGGCAGAGGCGGGCTTTCGAGAACGGAACCGAAGTTCTGTGCCATATTGCATAATTGGATTGCATGATATGACTTGAGAACAAGAGCGGATTATGACATACTCGTAATTCGTTATATCGTCTTTACGTAACTCCACGCTCGAGTATTGAGTCGACCTAATTCAGTACACCTAGAAAATCCCATTACACAATTTACTACGACAACCTACATCACAGTCTTCATTCTAAAAGATAGCCAACGTACTCGTATCTCCCATTTCAGCAACTACCCGACGTGTATTCCGAAGAATATTCACAAGTATTCTCCAAACTAGTCCATATCAACAAACTTTTCTGCTGTTCTTCTTACCAGCAGTCACACACACACACACACACATTCTACAGAAAATGAAATAACATAACAGAGGAAGGTGCGAAAAACAAAGGAAACAACCTCCCATGAAACTCTTTTAACCTGTATTACTTCCCCCCCTCCCCACACACACACCGTGACACGGGGCAGC